ATTACGACTTATTAAAAACGTATAATAATTAAGATACTGTAGCATTGGTGCAAGGATGGATAGATAAATTGTATCCATCAGGATCCAATCAGGAGACAGAAACCACATGAGTGGTGTCTTGGTCTCTAGATTTTACATTTGGTCTCCCCCTAAATATCAGGACCCAGTGCAGAAAAGAACTAGGTCTTCCTTAGTCATCAATTTAATCTTGACATTATCTGCCCAGGGCTCAGCTCAGAGGCAGCACCAGGCAATTCTTGCGGAATGAGCTAGCCAGCGAAGACACCCCTTCCTGCATAGACTGGGAGAGAGAGCCTGATTTCCTGTTGGAAAGTAAACCCCTAGGCCGGGCGCGGTGGCTCACACCTGTAATCCTAGCACTCTGGGAGGCCGAGGCGGGCGAATTGCTGGAGGTCAGGAGTTCAAAACCAGCCTGAGCAAGAGTGAGACCCTGTCTCTACTATAAAATATAGAAAGAAATTAATTGGCCAACTAATATATATAGAAAAAAAGTTAGCCGGGCATGGTGGCGCATGCCTATAGTCCCAGCTACTCGGGAGGCTGAGACACGAGGATTGCTTGAGCCCAGGAGTCTGAGGTTGCTGTGAGCTAGGCTGACGCCACGGCACTCACTCTAGCCTGGGCAACAAAGCGAGACAATGTCTGAAAAAATAATAATAATAAAAAAAAAAGAAAGAAAGAAAGTAAACCGTTAGCCCAGGGGGTGTGGGGTGTGTGTGGGGGGGGACAGGAAACAAAGCCTGGGCCAGGGCGAAAGGCAGGGCTACCGCTCTGGTCCTGTCACCTGTAGATGGAGGCCAAAGGGCAGGTGAGCCACATGCTGTTGGTCAACTTGCCCGGCTGGTAGATGTCGAAGACGAAGTAGGGCTGGTTGACTTCCTTGCCGCGGTCACAGGGCACGTGGCAGGCTTCCACCTGCAGCTCAGGCCGCATGCGGCTGTACGGCCTGTTGGTCTCCCTCAGGTAGAGCCAGCAGGGCATGGGCTTCTCCAGCGGCTCCTGCACGTAGCAGTAGCCCAGGCGCTTGCGCTCCCCGGGCTCGCCGCAGCGGTTGCAGTCCTGCCAGGGCTCCCAGTGGGTGAAGATGACTATCTGGCCGCCCAGGTGCAGCGTCTCATTCCCCAGGGCCTTTTGGTGCAGCCCCTTGTGTGTAATATGCAGGTCGCTGGCGTCCTGGAAGTCGAGCTCGTAGCCCACCAAGAGGGTGGCGTCGTTGCTCTGGCAGTGATAGAAGCCCGTCTGGGAGGGCTGGGGGTTGGTCAGTTGGAGGCTGCCACCAGGCAGCCGCCTTGCGTTAGGCATCGAGCTGAGCAGGGAAGGGTCCTCCCCCCAAATGGAAGAGAAGTACCAGAGTGCCTTGGGATGGTCGCATTTCAAGACGACATCGTTGCCCGTGAGCAGGGCCCTCAGGCATACGCTCTTGTAGGCACAGCTGATTAGTATGTGGGCCCCCACGGTGGGGAGAGAAAGGCTAACCAGCCACAGGGTGGCCAGCATGGTGGACCGGGAGGGCAGAAGGAGTCCAGGAACCCCCCGGAGCATTGTGAAGTCACCTACAGAACTCGAGGATCAGCCCTCGGCGGTGGAATGAAGGCTGTTCACGACGCTTCCGGGCTACCGCTCAGTTCATGCCATCAGACGGTGTGTCCCGGGTGGTAGGGCCGAAAACGCAAGTGTCCACAGGAGCTGGGCACAAAAGGAGTAAACTGAAGTCACAACTTATTGGACTTAGAAGGCCAATACTCCACATACTCCATAGACAAGGATGACTTCGAGACCATCAGAAAGAAGGAGAGACACGCAGAAATCACCCGTGTCTACTGTTTCCAGAATCCAGTGGGGAAACATTACAAGGGCCTCCTGTCTTGTGGACAAGGGAGGATTCCTTAATTCGCACCAGCTCGGCTCTTTGGTGGGGGGGGGGGGCAGGGCTTCCCGAACCATTGCTGCTGTGGCTCACGGCCCCACTCTTGGGGAGGTATCTCCTCTTCCGCTATCCTCCTTGGCTGCACATGAAGTGGAACCGGAAGATGTGCTCTCTTTGAGACGGCAGAAGTTTTTCTCAGCCTGCTTTCTGTCTCCCAAAGTTTGGGACCTAAGAGTACCTCGTAAGCCTCCAGTCAAGTTCATGTGTAAAAAACAAAACGAAACAAAACCAAAAAACCCAGACCACATCCACAGTTCTGTTCAAGATCTTCTTCTTCCTCCTACTCCTTCTTCTTTTCTCTCTCTCTCTCTCTCTCTCTGTCTCATTGCAGGTAACTTAAACTCTATCAAGCATCCTTGGAGAGGCGTAGCTTTCATCTCTCTTTCACTGGAGACATTTGTCCACCTGAAAGGATGTTCTGGTAGTATCTTCATTCATTCAGAGATTTTAAACGATCATTAATAATTATTTAACTAATGCTACAACCTTGATTTTATCCTTGCCCAGAGCTGAGTTCTAACCGGGCTTTGTCTCTCAGCGGCCAACATCCACTCCTAACTCCTATATTCCAACTGCTTCCTCTCAAGCTGCAAGTTCATTTTAAGCTCATCATCTGCCTTCCAGAGTAGCTCAGGCAACAGTCTCCGTCCTTCTGGTTTCAAATAAGTTTTCTCGTTCCCAGTGTATCTAAGCCAATGCCATGTATTTTTTTTTTTTTATTGCACTACCGACGTTAATTTCGGTATCAGTCTAGATAGGCTATTGGCTACTGTAATAAACTTCCCCCAAATCTCAATGACTTAAAACAATGGAGATTTGTTTCTCACTCATGCCCTGTGTCTGTTGCGGGTTGATGTCATGATCATTCAGGGATCCAGCATGGAGGAGCAACCGCCATCTCAAACCCTTCCGGTTTCTTCAGAGGAGGAAGAAAGAGCGCTCTGCAGGATTTCAGGCCTATATTAAGTGCTCTGCCCTTCCATGACGCATAGACACTTGCTCACAAAACACTGGCCAGAGACAGCTATATGGCACTACCAGTCCACCAAGCCAACAAAAGAAATGGAATTCTACTATGTCCAGGAATCTTTTGGCAAATGACAGTAATGATGATGGCAGCTAAGCTTTATTATAAGGAGTATTTCCTCTGGTGTGTCCCTTTGTAACGTAAAATTAAAACCATTTCCAAAATCTTCCCATCAGTTCTTCCCTAAAGTTCCACTGGCCAGGATTGGGTCCCATGTCCAGATCTAAACGAATCCCCAAAAAGAAATGAAGTTTCCATAGTTGGCTTAAACCAATCAAGGAGGTGAAAGGCTTGTACACTAAAAACTAGAAGAGACTGCTAAAAAGAAGTTAAAGAATATCTAAATAAATGGAAAGACATGCCATATTCATGGGTAGGAAGACTTAACATTGTTAAGATGTCCAGGCAGGGCGCGGTGGCTCACGCCTGTAATCCTAGCACTCTGGGAGGCTGAGGCAGGCGGATTGCTCCAGATCAGGAGTTCGAAACCAGCCTGAGCAAGAGTGAGACCCCATCTCTACTATAAATAGAAAGAAATTAATTGGCCAACTAATATATAGAGAAAAAATTAGCCAGGCGGGCATGGTGGCGCATGCCTGTGGTCCCAGCTACTCGGGAGGCTGAGGCAGGAGGATTGCTTGAGCCCAGGAGTCTGAGGTTGCTGTGAGCTAGGCTGACGCCACGGCACTCACTCTAGCCTGGGCAACAGAGCGAGACTCTGTCTCAAAAAAAAAAAAAAAAAAAAAGTCCAATATCGCCCAAAACAATCTACAGATTTAACACAATGCCTATCACATTTCCAAGGTTCTTTTTCAAAGAAATAGAAGCAGATCCTAAAATTTGCATAGAATTGCAAGGGCCCCCCAATAACCAAAACAATCTTGGGAAAGAATAAAGTTATTTCCCAACTTTGAACAGCCGAACCCGCCTGCTAGTAGCCAGTTTGCAACCTCCCGGAGCCCGAGGGGAGGAAGCGCACGGGGTTCCCAGGATGCGCTTCCCCCGGCCGCCGTCGGGGGCCAGCAGAGGCGCGCGGAGCGCCGGGCCCACCGCTCGCGCGCCCCGCCCCACAGACCCCCGACACAGGTGGCTGGTCCCCGGGAATCCAGGGGCGGACACCGGTCCCCGGCCCCGCGCCTCCTCTCGGTCCCTTTAAGAGCCAGTTTCCGGAGGCTTGGCCTGGGGCAAGGGGTGCCCCGGGGTGGAACCAAGACTTGGGAACGGGGAGGTGGCGAGAACTTCCTTAGTAAAATTCCAACTTTTCCTGCGCCGGATTCCCCTCCTGCGTCCCGAGGGGGCAGAGCTCCCCTCCCGCGGACTTCCCTTGGCTCTTTACGTCATCCAACTGGGGGGGGGACACACGGAGGCCCGAAGCGCCTCCCTGCACCCTGACCCGAGGATCCCAGAGCGGTTGGAAAAGTCAGGCGCTATCGCCTGGCCCCTCCCCGCAGGGCGCACCTAGGCAGGTCCATCGCCAGCCGGGAGGGGGGTGTGGGCAGGAAGGAACAGGTGCGCGGCGGGACCCTCCCCCGCCCAACAGGTGGATCGCCCCAAGTGGAGCTCGCTTCTCGTGGAGCTCGGTCCGCTCAGCTCGGCTCGAGCGGGAGGGGGCGGGACGGGACCCGCAGTCCCGAGCGCCCTCCCAGGGAGCCGGCCACTTGGTCCCGGCCCTGGGGGCCGGAGCGCACCTGGGTCAGCCCACTTCCGGGGAGGGAGGCGGAGGAGCCCCTCCCCACCGCCCACCCCGGAGCCCGGCCCTCGGCTCCCACCCTTGTGTACCTGGGCGGATCCATTCCCCAGGGCGCGCGGGGGCGGGTGGCTCGGAGAGCCGCACTGGGCCAAGGCATTTTCTCCCGATAGCTGAAAGCCTGCGCTTCGTCCACGTTGTCTCCGTTCCTTAAAACTTCTAGAACGCGGCGGGGTGGACTTGGAATAGGGACGAGGAACGGAAGCGAGAAGGGGAGGAGCGTGCACCCCTCCCGGCCCTGGCGCGCGCCGCGCCCCCTACCCTCCTCCGGTACTTGGGAAGGGACGCGCGGGCCGGGCGCGCCTAGACGGCCGCGATGGCCGCGATGGCGCTGGTGGCCCGCGGGCTCTGCCGAGGGCTGGGCTCCCACCCGGCCGCCCCAGGCCGGGGCGCTGCCGTCTTCCTGTGGCTCCTTCTGAGCACCTGGTGCACAGGTACACGGCGCGGGGTCCCCTGCTCTGCGGGACGGCGGGGGGGGGCGTCTCCAGAGCGGGATGGGTAGAGTCGTCTGGGGCCGAGGCGGCGGGAGCGCGGAGGGGGGAGGGGGCTGGGATGAGGACCTCCGGATCCACTGGATCTTCGGAAATCCCGCGTGCGCCGGGCTGGGGGGAATGCCCGGCCCGTGGAGGGGAGCGCTTCCCCGCCCTCGTCTGGAGATAGCAGGAAGTGAAACTCCCGGGACGGTGAGTCCCGGCGCTGCAGGGAGAACGCGACCCTTTGTGGGGTGAAGGGCCGCCATAGCGCTGAGCGTCGGAGTAACGGGGACAGGGCGCGAGGGCCGGATCGGACGCTTCCTGGAGGGAGAGACCGAGAAGCAGTGTCCGGGCCTCGGGTGGGGTGGGTGTGGGCCCGGGGACCTCCCAGCCCCACCCACCTCCCGCGGCCTCCGAGTATCTGTACGTAAGAGTCGGGAGGATGGACTCCTGGACTCGAAACCCTGTCTGCTGGCAAGCTTCCACCTGGGTCCGATGCTTGTTTGCGTGGGGTCAGGGGCTTTATCTTTCAGCCAGCTCTTTGGGCGCGGTCCTTTCAGATGGCCTTGGGTAGGATGGGGTCCCCCGAGGCTGACGGAGATATCGTGGGGGCTTTAGCCACTGCCCCGCAAAGCAGTTCCATCAGACAGCTCCAGAATTTTCCCTCCAAATTCAAAAAACCCTGGGTGACTTGGAACCCTGGGTGGTTTGAAGTGGCCCTGGGGCACTGGTGGCACCGCAGTGGCCACTTGGGCTTGCCCCGGCGGGCCACAGGGGAGGCCCTTCTCCGAGAGAGAGTGGCCAAGGGGACAGGGAACCGGGGTGGTTCGGAGGCCACGGGCTGGGGTCAGAGATGGACAGAGGGTTCCAAGGACACTGGCCATCTGTGCACCTGCCCCTACAGCCCCAGGGGCCTATGAAGTGGGCATGATTATTGTGGCCGCTGCCACGGTTCTGGGGATCAGGGAAGATCGCGTGCAGGGTGTTCAGTAAAGCCGCACGCTTGTGTGAAGCTGGCGACAAGTGACGCCGCCCCTTCCCGTTGGGGCGCTTGCCTGAGCTCCCCGCAGTCCCTGCTGACTCTCCTCTTGCCCTCAGCTCCTCCTGCCAGTGCCATCCAGGTGACCGTGTCAGACCCCTACCACGTGGTGATCCTGTTCCAGCCGGTGACCCTGCCCTGCACCTACCAGGTGACCACGTCCCCCACGGTGCCCATCGTGATCTGGAAGTACAAGTCATTCTGCCGGGACCGCATCGCCGACGCCTTCTCGCCGGCCAGCGCTGACAACCAGCTCAATGCCCAGGTGGCGGCTGGTAACCCGGGCTACAACCCCTACGTGGAGTGCCAGGACAGCGTGCGCACCGTCAGGGTGGTGGCCACCAAGCAGGGCAACGCCGTGACCCTGGGAGAGTACTACCAGGGCCGGAGGATCACCATCACCGGAAGTACGTCGGGCGGGGCTGGGGGGGGGGCTGGGGGCGCCCTGTGTCCAGCCTGGGGTCCCCACCCAAAAGCTCCTGAGAGCCAGTGTCTTAAAGGACCGGCGAAGGGAGCCGTCCTTCCTCCTATCCGTCCACCCATTCCTTTTATTTAACAACAAAGCCTTGCCGAGCACGTAATACACCCGGGGCTGTTCTCGGCCCTGGTGATGCAGCAGTAACCCAAATCATCCCGTTGCAGTGAGAGAGACAAACACAACTTAGACGGTCAAGTGCTTGAAGGTACAGGAAACTGGGCAGTGGAGGGAGAGGCAGGGGTTCGTTCTATTATCGTGGCGGTAATGGCGAACAATGAGAAGGAGGATTTATATAAGTAACCACCTGCAGAGGGTCTCCCGTGTGCCAGGCTGTCATCCAGGTAGGAATGGTCTGAAGCTGGGACCCGGCAGCCCCGAGAGCTCTTGTTTGTGACCACAACGCAGCCTCCTGATAGGGGGCACCTGCTGGGACTCAGTAAGGGGCAGGGGGACTCATTCATTCATTCATTCATTCACCCGTTCAGGGGTTACCCAGCACCTACTATGTGCCAGGCACTGTAGTAGGTGCTGGGGGTAGCGTGGTGATCGGGACGGCCAAGGTCCCCGTCCTCAAGGACATGACATTCTAGGGCGACGTGCTGTATGGGACGGCTTGGGCGCGCCCACCTTACGACCCCTGTGAATGTGATTTGAGGAGGGACTGGGCTGGGCCTGAAGAATCTAGAAGGCAGAGAGGAAGGCGGGGGGACAGTGGGCCTGGGATGAGGGCTCACCCAGTTAACGGCTGCATCTTTCACTGTCTGTGACAAGGGTTAGAGTGGAAGTCTTGGGCGTGGGGGCAGGCGGGGGAGGGAGCATCCTGGTGCAGACCCTGAGAAACCAGGTCATGGCGCATGCTCCTTCCTTCGTGGGGCAGAACAGGGATGAGAGGCAGCGTTCCAGGGACAGCCTGTCCGTCCTGCTCCGGGGGAGGGACCAGCCTTGCTTGCCCTGAATTCCCATGGGCGGTTCAGCCTGTAAGCAAACATCCCACTGTTCTTGAGGATGGAGGGCTTCTGGGGGGGGGGAGGGGTTTCAACCTATACCGGCCCCCTCCCCTCTAACCCAGGAGCTGCCCCAGTGCAGACCAGGCAGGACTGCCCAGCCCCTGTCGGGACAACCCTAACGCTGAGTGGGAGTGGCACAAAACTCCAGAACGACCCTCGGGCTGTATGGGTGGGGACCCCTTTGAGCTCCAGTCCTGGGTCTTCCACGCTCCTGGACCTGGGTCCTGGCATGCCACAGGCCCTGGTGGGCAAACACCCATTGTGTGCCCGTCCTTTCAGGAAACCAGCACCCGGGAGACTTCCTCCCTTTCAGCTGTGAGGACGGGGAGAGGCAGACTTCCCTGTGGTCCTAGGTTCTAAAAGTGAAAGGGCCTGGGCCAACCAGCAAGGTGCTCACCCTCCAGGTGTCCCTCGGGTCCGGGTGGGTCCTGCCTCCCTTCCATTCATTCTTCCCTGCATTGGGTGACGTGGGGTGCCTGGAAAGGACCCCCGTTTCTACCTCTCAGGCTCTTTGGGGCCCCTGTGCCCCCCTTTCTCAGCAGCACGGGAGCAGAGGGCCATGAGACCTCTGAAATCGTGGGTGCCACCTCTGCCACGTGTGAAGAGGGGACCAGAGTCTGGTCCCGAGCCCAGCAGAGACCTGGCATCTTCTCCCTGCACCTGAAACAGTTAAAGCTGTGCCCGGCCCGTGTGATCTCAGGGCCAGCTGGGGACCGGGAACAGAATAGGGTGCGCCTTGCAGGAAGGAGGTGGCCCCAGGCCTGGGGATTGATCTAAAGAAGCCGGAAAGTCGTGTCTTTTGTGGGTTTTGAAAACATCATTCAGGCCAAACAAAACGCATCCAGGCCCAGACCCGGCCCAGGAGACTCCCGGATCTCAGCTCCTGGGCCTGGCGGGGGCTTCCCGCCCACCCCCCGGCTTCCGGCAGGGACCAGCTCTTGAGCTCCGGTGCTGGACAGGTGTGGTCAGGTCTGCTCTAAAGGTACAGGTGGAAAAATAATGGCCCAAGAGGGCACTGTGGAAAAACTGGGGGATTCAGGAGAATCTGGAGTTTTTTGAGGATTCAGTGAAAGAATGTGTGCAAAGGGGCCTGGCGCGTAGTAAGAGCTTGATCACCGGAGGCATGTCCCCAACTCCTTCCCTTCTGCTCCGAATGTCACCTCATCCGCAGGCCTGCCCTGGCCTCCTTGTTTAAAATAGAAACAGCCCCTGGCTCCGCGCCTGCCTGGTACTCCGTGTCTGCCTTCCCTGATCCATTCTCTGAACTGCTTATCACTGTCTGATATGTGACGTAGCTAGAGTTTTTTATTTGTCTCTTTTCCAGTTAGAACCTGAGCTCTGTAAGGCAAGGATTCCTATCTGCTCTTCACGGCGGTGGCTCGCAAATATTTTGGTCTTGGAGTCTCTGTGTGCTCATAATTATTGAGGCCCTCAATAATTTATAGCCAGCACACTGAGAGGAGTTTAAGAAATGTTTTAATGACAATAATAAAGTCATTATAGGGGTTAACATAAATACCATGCTTTTTATGGAAAAAAAAAAAAAGAAAATATATGTTCCAAAACCAAACACTTTTTTTTTTTTTTTTTTTTGAGACAGAGTCTCACTCCGTTGCCCAGGCTAGAGTGAGTGCCGTGGCGTCAGCCTAGCTCACAGCAACCTCCAACTCCTGGGCTCAAGCGATCCTCCTGCCTCAGCCTCCCAAGTAGCTGGGACTATAGGCGTGCGCCACCATGCCCAGCTAATTTTTTGAATATATATTTTTAGTCGATCAATTAATTTCTTTCTATTTTTAGTAGAGACGGGGTCTCGCTCAGGCTGGTTTAGAACTCCCGACCTCAAGCAATCCACCCGCCTCGGCCTCCCAGAGTGCGGGGATTACAGGCGTGAGCCACCATGCCCGGCCCAAACACGTTTAATGAGAAGAGTGGAATTGTTTGATAGTTGTGCAAGTCTCTGAAGTCAGGCTGAATAGGAGAGGCTGGATTCTCAAAGCTACTTCAGTGTCTGTCTTATGCCGCTTGTGGCTCTGGAGGACTCTACAGTACTCTCTGAAAAGGGAAATAACATTTTGGCATTATTATGCAAATAACGTTGGGCCTAGTGTGGTGGCTCACACCTATAATCCCGGCACTTTGAGAGGATCGCTTGAGGCCAGAAGTTCGAGACCAGCCCAGGCAACCTATGGGGACCCCATCTCTAAAAGAAAAAAAAATTTTTCTCTTCTAAAGATGACATATTTTTTAAAAAGAAAATAACTTTGACCTCAGGGGTCTTCTAGAAAGGTCTCAGGGAACCCCACAGGCCACACTTTGACAACCGTTGCTCTCTAGGATACCAAGTGTCTCAAATACTGCGTAGAACACAGGCTGCACCCGGCAATTATTTGTTGGGTGTTGGGTGAATGGATCAAGTGTGTATTTGCACGTAGCCCTGTGCCCGGAATGCTGGGACAGACGACAAAGGTCAAGGAAGGTCAGCACGAGGAGAGGGTATGTTCATTTCTGCTCCTGGCCTGGCCCCGTGTTGGGCGCTGGGGGACCAGCAGCGACGGAGACAGACCAGCTCCAGTGGCGTGGGGCCGCCATTCTCTCGGGGTGATGGGCGGTCAGCCCCAAAGCTGGGTGACTGATGCACCTCGGGGCTCGGGCATGGGAGCCGCGGCCCAAGCAGGAGCCCCTCACGGTGGTGACAGTGCCGAGGCCACTGCATCTGGAGTCTCGTGAGTGGAGGGGACGGTGGGGTCACTGAGGCTGGCTTGACAGCCAGAGGCTGGGTCATGCCAGGGGCCTCGTGGGCCTGGGGTAGCTGTCTGGAACAGCGTGGACAGGTTTTCCGTGGACAAGAGGCCTGCCTTCCGAGGAGGGAAGAAGGCTTGGGTTCTTGCATTCCTTGAGCAGTTGTTGACGCATGTCCCAGTGGGCGCCAGGTGGTGCCGATGGGGCACCCGCAGTTACTGCTCTCGGGCAGGTGGGGGGGGCAAGGGGTTCATGGGCAGGCAGGGTGCCAGAAACAGCTCCACGGGCAGGCAGGTGGCCAGGAACAGGAGCGGCTGGGAAGGAAGCGGCTGTGGAACTGAGGGCATCTTCTGGCGGTGATGTTCACCCCTGGCCTGTCACTGTCCCCCTGGGCCTAGGGAGAGCTGCCCAGTGGGTGCCCCGTCCCACGCTGGTGAGCGCCTGCAGGTATTTAGCTAATTAGGGCCTGAGGAGCAGCGAGGAAACCGGATGTGGTGAAAGACTTTGATGAACTAAAGGCATAATTAACAGGTTCCCTGTCTGAGACTGCTTCGGCCCAGAGCGTCCCCAAGCCCCGGGCCTGACCCGGAATGCGGGGAGGGAGGGAGGGAGGGAATGGACGGGCGACTGGGAGGGTCTCGGGCTCTGTCTCCCACACGGACACACCCGCTCTTTAAGGCCGCCTGGGCATCTCCTGCCTTCTGGAATCTGATCCATCTCTGCCTCCTTGCTCTGGGCCTGTCCCCTGGGTCTACATTAGGCTCCTGGCAGGGCACGGCGGGGCTCCAGCTCTGACAGGTGGCACAGAGATGGCTCTAAGTTGTCTCTGGAGCCAGAATGTCCCTGTCCCACCACTGACGGGCTGCATGACTTTGGGGAGATTAGGTGATCTCCCCAGACCTGGTGTCTCATCTACAAAACAGGAATGCCAACGGTGCCCACCTCACAGACTTCTTGGAATAACCTGAGTGTTTAGAACAGGGCATAAAGGGCAGCGTGCCCTTGTGAGAATCCTATCATTGTCACTCGATTCACCTGCAGTGCTGGGAGCAGCGGGGGGCCGTGGCCCTGCTGGGGTCAGGTGGCCCCACCCTTGAGGTGGCCTTATGTCTTCTCCTCCTGATCCAGATGCCGACCTGACCTTTGACCAGACGGCCTGGGGGGACAGCGGTGTGTATTACTGCTCCGTGGTCTCGGCCCAGGACCTCCAGGGGAACAACGAGGGGTACGCGGAGCTCATCGTCCTTGGTGAGTGGGGCTGGGCCCCGAGAGCCTGGAAAGGGGGAGGGCACGGCCCCTCTGTCCACCTCTGCCTGTCTGCCCTCTGCCCTCTAGCTCGCCCTCTGGGCTCTGTCGCCTGCTTTGCTCTCCTCTCGCCGCCGCCAGTCACTTGGGCTTTTTTGGACCCTGCACCCCAGGCAGGGACCCCTCGCCACAGGGCTTCCCTCCAGCCAGAGCCAGACCAGGAGTGCAGAGAAATAGGGACTCGGCCTCTTCCTAGTCTTCAGTTTTTGAACATCCAGATGTGACCAGAGTTGACTGGCAGTGAGTGAGGATGGTCGGTTGTGTGTAAAATCACAGGGAGGCTGGGCCACCTCCCGCCACGGCCCCAGGGCCACCCGTCACCCTGGGAGTCCCCTGCCAGAGAGCACGCACCTTGCCGTCCGCCCGGCTGGGACGGCCTCGTGGCTTGCAGAGAGAGAGTGAGTTTGAGTGAGACTGAAAGGAGGCCGGCCCCAGATGCCCAGGGGCAGGATGGGGGTCCTGGCTGTGGGGCCGGACGTGGAGGGGACATCGCCACTGGCCAGCTGCCCTGCTGCGGCCGCCACACGAAGTCTCGCGTGGCCTGTGGGCCGCCGTCCCGACGTGTGTGTGAATAAGCATGTGACTGGGACCGAGTTTCAGGGTGCTTGTGCCACACGACAGTTCGCGTGTGCACCAGTGGCCCAGGAACCTCCACGTGTCGCCTGGCGAAACACACCACCCGCATCCGCAGTTCCCAGCATTTAGTCTCGGGGCCTGTTCATACTCTCAAAAATTATCGAGGGTCTCCAAGAGTTTTTGTTGTAAGTTTTTGTGGGTTACAGCCTCAGTTGCTTAATGTATTAGAAATTGAAACGGGGAAGAAACTGAAACACACAGGCCGTTGGCCGACGGGGCGATAACGACATCACGTCATGGAGCCTTGGGAAAACTCCCCGTGCGCGCACGAGTGAACAAGAATGAAAAGGCACGTGACGTCTTAGTGTCACCAAGTTTTGGCCAAATGGCCAGGACCCCACTTGGAGAGCCACTGATGGACACGTGTCCTGCCCCGTGGCAGGGGCAGGCGGTGCCACACGTGTGAGCTCTGGAGGGGCTTTGTGGGCGCAGAACCAGGCGTGTGGCCCTTCCGAGACACAAGGGTTGCGGGACACAGAGCTCCCGGCCCCCAAGGGGAGGCACAGGTGGAAGACATTTGCAGGTGATGATTCAGGAACTGAGATCAAGATTGCATTGTTATAAAGACAATTCGTTATTATACATTTTTTTCCCGATTTTAAGATAAAACATTTTCGTGGGCCCCAGGGCTAAGGATCAGGACTCTGCCTTGTCACCTGGGCGGGGACTCTTTGGGGTGCTAGGACCCATGTGTGATGAAAAGATGGGGTGTCTGGGCTGAGGTCGAGCCTTCAGAACGCCACGGGACGTGCCGGAACCCTCCGTGGCGTGACAGCAGGGGACTGTGAGACGGAAGTCACACACCGACCAGCCCCCCACATCTGGGCAGGGGTGGAGGGCAGGAGCCACAAGCCAGGTCTCTCCTGGGCCACCGGCCCTTCCCCACTTCAGGGCACACCTTGGACTTGGGTGGCTGGGGCTGGGTTTAGGGGCGGGGCAGCCTGGGCTGGCTCCTGCCAGCATAATCTCCTGTCTCTCTTTTGTCCCTCCAGGCAGGACCTCTGGGGTGGCTGAGCTCTTACCTGGTTTTCAGGCGGGGCCCTTGGAAGGTATGGGGGGTGGAGTCTTCTCTCTGGGGTCCGCACACACCATTTATGGCGACCGACTCGGCTGTTCCCCCTCCCAACTAAACCCCGCGTGCTGTGGACCCCCTACTAACCCGGCCTGACGCGGACTGAGTAGCACATAGTGACCGACGACGGGCTCTGGGGCTGGGCGGGCGGCAGAGGGCCTGGGGTGCAGGCGGGGCTCCCGTGACTGGCGCCTGCAGTGCTCTTCGGGGACTGGGCAGCAGGCTCTCTCTCTTCCGTCCCGGACCAACCGTCTGTCTTGCTGTGGCCGGGGTGCCTGCTGCTTTCCGCCTTGTCTGCTTGAACCCCCGGGGGACTGGCCTGGGGTGCAGGGGGGTGGGCGCCCCGCTGCTGCTGAGCCCGGTCTCCAGCGGCAGGTTCCCCGCGAGCTTTGCACGTGGCCGCCTGCGCCGCCCTGCTCCGGCTGTGCTCTCCCAGACCTCCCGCTCAGGGCCTCTGCTCGTCTCCCCGCAGACTGGCTCTTCGTGGTCATGGTCTGCCTGGCCGCCTTCCTTGTCTTCCTCCTCCTGGGCATCTGCTGGTGTCAGTGCTGCCCGCACACCTGCTGCTGTTACGTCCGGTGCCCCTGCTGCCCCGACAAGTGCTGCTGCCCGGAGGCCCGTAAGTCCCCGCTCGTGACCGCCCCTCCTGGCCTCCCTCCTGGGTCCGAGGGGAGGAGGTCGCTGTCTCCCTGCCCCCCACCCCCCAGCGCCACCGGTCTGGAGGTTATAAGGTTAACAACCGGGAAAAAGCAGGCCAAGGAGGGTCTGCTATTTCAGATGATCGTTTACTTAATCCAGCTTTCAGTTTATTTTGAATTTTCATTTATTTTGAGTGTTTTGAATAATATAATCCATGCACGTGGTAAAAAGGAAACGCCCAATGGTATAAGATAGTCACATGGAAGTAAAGCTCCCTTTAAAAACAAAATCTTCAGCCGGGCGCGGTGGCTCACGCCTGTAATCCCAGCACTCTGGGAGGCCGAGGCGGGTGGATTGCTCAAGGTCAGGAGTTCGAAACCAGCCTGAGCAAGAGCGAGACCCCGTCTCTACTATAAATAGAAACAAATTAATTGGCCAACTAATATATATAGATAAAATTAGCCGGGTATGGTGGCACATGCCTGTAGTCCCAGCTACTCGGGAGGCTGAGGCAGGAGGATCGCTTGAGCCCAGGAGATTGAGGTTGCTGTGAGCTAGGCTGACGCCACGGCACTCACTCTAGCCTGGGCAACAAAGCGAGACTCTGTCTCAAAAAAAAAAAAAAAAAATCTTCAGCAAAAAAAAGAAACTAAACAAGGGTTGTAGCGCCCCATAATTTAAGCAAATTTTTTTAAAAGCACGTGTCCACGCAGACACCACACGGTTCGCCCAGCTGCTCTAAGGGCCCCTGGGGAGGGCTGGGAGTGGGTGTGGGGCTGGGGCTGAAGGTGGAGGAAGCAAACCAAACAGGAGGGCAAGGGAGAAGAAAGAGTCCCCTTCTCGGGGACCATAGCTGTCACCAGTCCCTAGTTTTGTTCAGGAGAGTGTCCGAGTTAGGCCAGCATCTCTGTGACAACAAAAGGCCAGGCCACCGCTGCGAGCACGGGCAGGTGGAGGTTTGCAGCCAGCTCCACGCCTGACCTGCTCAGAAGCCCAGTGAGTGACTTTCCCTCCCCGAGGCTCAGTGTCCTCGCCTGGAAGATGGGGCTGGTGGCAGAGCTTGTCACACCGGCTACACCTAGGGATTTGCCTAAGTCACCTGCACAGCATTTGGCTCGGGGCTTGGCTCATTCCTCGCACACTGGCTGTCGGGCACTGCCGCCGTCCGCCTCAGCTGTGACCGAGGACCTACCATGTTTCCCCGAAAACAAGACCTACCCACAAAATAAGCCCTAGCAGGATTTCTAAGCATGTGCACAATAGAAGCCTCACCCCGAAAATAAGCCCTAGTGGTGGGCGTGGCTACGCAGTGCGTCTGCACAAGCCGTGCGTTTCGTCGCGGAGCAGTCAAGAAGACCGGCAGCCCTTCATCGTGACAGCTGCTGTCCCAAAGGTGACCGGAAAGGTGCAGGCAGCTCCACCAACAAGGTTGGCTCCCCTTGTCAGGTCCCAGCCACCCTGTGTGGGCTGCAAGCTAACACATCCCCTGAATAGAAGACCCTGTCTTATTTTCGGGGAAACACGGTAGGTGCCAGACCGAGCCCTGCTCAGACAGACAGCAGTCCCTCTCGGAGCCCCGTCTCCTTCTCTGTAAGGCCCCAACCTGATGGGGTGTTGGGAGTGTTAAGGGAAGACTGTCCGAAAGTGGCCAGCACGGGGTGGCGGCTCAGTCCCTGTGGCTAGTTGTATAATCTCGGGGCTGGGCACCCTGGCTCCTCTGCGACAGTTCTGCCGGCCATCCCCGCCCCTCCGTTGTCACGTTCAGCTGAGAGCTCCTGGCTCAGGCGGTGGGTGTTAGTCCATCTCCCAGATGGGCTGCAACCAACTTTGTAGTTAGCTCATTAATTAGGACGCGGCCTGCAGCCAGGACTGCAAACGCCTGCCCGTGGCTGCATTCCTCTGTCCCCACGCCACATTTCTTCCATCCGGAGACCCTGGCACTCCAGCCAGATGTCCCGTTAACTCCCTGACAGAGGGCCTGTAACTTCTGCCCCTGTAGACCTGTCAGGGGACATCACCTCCCTCTGCTAACTATACAATGGCAGGTCACCCGAGCTAATGAGGGGCTTCTAGGTAGGGCTGTGCACTTAGCCTTCTGCTTTCAAAACGGTCAGGGGAAGGGAGCCTTTGAGCCCATCTCCCCCTTCCACTTTCCTGTTCAAGTCCCGGGGCGGAAGCCACCTGCCTAGGACCTACCGACTTCGAGCAGCCACGGGAGCGAGCCCAGCCTCCCTCTCGCCAGGGGGAGGAAGGAAGCAGGGAGGATTTGCCCTTGAGCTGTCAAGCCTAGAGCCTGGCACGGGCAGGGAGGGGGTGCGGGTGTGGCCCGGGAGTTGGAAACACTGGAGAGATTTTGCTGCTCGGCCAAGTTAACTCCTGAGGCTCCTGCCTCAGACTGACTCCCATTTCGTCTGGGGCTGGAAGGGGACACAGCGGGGAGGACCCAGCAGGTCTGAGTGCACCGAGTGGGCAGGGGCTCCTCCCAGATGACTCATTCTTCTAGAGCAGGGGCTCGGCCACCAACAGGGGTACTTGATCCCGGTTGTGGGGACGGTGGTGGACCCTGCACACGGGCTTTATCTAAAGGGGCAGCTCTGTCCGCTGTCGCCCTGCAGCCCAGGGTGGCCACATCTTCCACTAAGTCAGCTGGAGAGTTGGAATCTTACGTGAAACCTTTTGATTGTCACATGTTGGCGAACCACCCTGTTGTCCAGCCAAGCACGCTGGCCATGCCACACTGGGGCTGGGGCTGCCAGCGTGCACTGCCTACTCTCAAACCTCTACGAGGACTCACACAGGAGGTGGGGACGTGGTGAAGCCGATGTCCCCTAGCCTCAGGGATGCTGCAGAAATGCAATGAGGACCAGCAGGGACCCGAGTGCCTAGGAAAGGTTTACAGCAGAGGGGGCGTTGGAAAGGTTAGGCCCATGTCCCTCCAGAAGCCCCATGGGTGGAAGGCAGCGTGGCTCCTGCCCACTTTCTCATGCAACTGTGTGTGTCCTCCCAGTGTATGCGGCCGGCAAAGCAGCCACCTCAGGCGTCCCAAGCATCTATGCCCCCAGCACCTACGCACACCTCTCCCCAGCCAAGACCCCGCCCCCACCAGCCATTATTCCCATGGGCCCTGTCTACAACGGGTACCCTGGAGGGTACCCCGGAGACTTTGACAGGAGCAGCTCAGGTGAGGCCGGGGGCATGGGTGGGGGCTGGGAATGGAGGCAAGAGTGGACAGGTGGACTTGGGGTGGGAGGAGGGGCTGGGAACCCAGGGCTTCGTGCCCGGTGGGCAGCCACTGACAGCCAGTCTCGCCTAGTCGGTGGCCACAGCTCCCAGGTACCCCTGCTTCGTGACGTGGACAGCAGTGTGACCTCAGGTGAGAACCCATCATTCTGAGGTTGGGCACGCCTGTGGGGGAAAGGGCCGAGTCAGCATCGTTCCTTCCAAGCTGACCACCTGCCACCCCTTGTCCCTAGAAGTCCGCAGCGGCTACAGGATTCAGGCCAACCAGCAGGACGACTCCATGCGGGTCCTGTACTACATGGAGAAAGAGCTGGCCAACTTTGACCCTTCCCGACCTGGGCCCCCCAATGGCCGCGTGGAGCGGGGTGAGCAGGAGCCTTGGGGTCTGAGGGGGAGGGGGAACTCCCTGATACCTGCCCTTCCCATGCTGGCTGCAGTCCCTGGACACCGTCCCTCCTTTCCTACCCCTGCAGAGTTATGAGCCAGGAGGGTGACACAGCTGGACCTCAGGCTCCCGACCTTAAGTCCTAGCCTCCCCCCAGCAGTGACACCCCCCTTTCCTTACAGCCATGAGTGAAGTCACCTCCCTTCATGAGGACGACTGGCGACCTCGCCCTTCGCGGGGCCCCGCCCTCACCCCCATCCGGGATGAGGAGTGGGGTCGCCGCTCCCCCCAGAGTCCCCGGAGGTGGGAGCAGGAGCCCCCGGGAGGCGCGGGAGGCGGCTGGCGCGCCGGGCGGCCGCGGGCGCACTCCGTGGATGCTCTGGATGACCTGCGGCCCGGCTCCGCCGAGTCGGGGCGCCGCTCGCCCCCAAGCAGCGCGCGGCGAGGCCGGGCCTACGGGCCCCCGCGAAGCCGCAGCCGCGACGACCTCTACGAGCAGGACGAGCCGAGGGACTTCCCGCGCCCCCGGGGTGCCCACCACGAGGACGGCAGGGCGCGCTGCCCGCGGCCCCGGGACCCTCGGGACGACGGCTCCAGGGCGGGGGGCCCCCAGTACGACGGGCGGCTGCTGGAAGAGGCCTTGCGGAAAAAGGGGTCTGGGGAGAGGAGGCCGCGCCGGGACGAGGAGGAGGAGGAGGAGGAAGGCTACTACCCCCCCGCGCCCCCGCCCTACTCGCCCTACGAGACCGACTCGCAGGCGTCCCGGGAGCGGAGGCTGAAGAAGGTGAGCGCCCGGGCCGCGCCCCCTCCCGGCCCGCCCGCCCCGCCGCCCCGCTCACGCCCGCCCCGCCGCCCCGCTCACGCCCTGTCTCCCTCCTTTGCAGAGCCTGGCCCTGAGTCGGGAGAGTCTCGTCGTCTGACCTCGCCTTTTGTACGTAGCTTTTGTACTTTGTTTGTTTTTTAACTGGAAGCGACACTGATGAAGCGCCTCCCCCGTCAAGCCTCAATAAAGTCTGTGACCACGGGCCGAGTCTGAGCGGCGCGTCTGTTTCGCCCGTCCGCGGGGCCCGGCGTCCCGGCCGGGCGGAAGGGAGCCGCCGCGCCGGCCTCCGCCCGAGTACGTGCCCCGCGCGCCTCCCCGGCCTGCTGGTGCGCCGCCGGCCCCCCCGCGACGTGGCATGCGCCCGCGCCCGCCCTCGCGCACGGCCGCCGGGAGCGCGCGCGCGCCCCTTCGCTTCCCACCCACACGCCCTCCCCCCCGACCTACTTCGCTGCCCGAGCCCGCCGCCGGCTGGGCCCCGCGGCCCGAGCCCCTCCTGCGGCGGCCCGACGTTCATCCGGGCCCGCGTTCCAGGCCGGCGGCGACCTCGCGCCGCCCGCCGGGCCCGCGCGCGCCCGCCAGCCGGGCCGCGGCGGAGACGACAGCGCGCGCGCTCCCCGGGCTGCCTCCCCCGCGCGCGTCGGCCCGGGCTCGCGCCGCCGCCGCCGCGCGCGCGCAGCTCCAGTAAAGGAGGAAAAAAAAGGGGGAAAATAGAAAGCGGCGGCGGCTGCAGCAGCGATCCGCCGCCGGACGGGGCCAGGCCGGGCGGCGGGCGCGCGAGCCGGGGATCCGGGGCGCGCGCGCGGCAGCAGCCAGCCAGGGCGGGCCGGGTCCAAAAAAAAAGTCGCGGGCGGCGCGGCGGCGGCGCGGTCGGGACGGAGGCCGAGGGCCGCGGCGGCGGGGGGCAGCCGCCGCGGCCGGGGCCTCGAGCGCCCGAGCCGGTGGCGGGCGCAGGCGGCGGCGGCCCGGGAGGCGGCGGCTGCAGGAGCGGCGGCGGCGGCTGCGGCGGCGGCAGCTCCTCCTCACATGACCCCACTGTTTGTCCCCGTGATCAGCGCGAGCGGCTCCCGTGTCTCCTCCGTCCCCTCCTGCCGCGCGGCGTGAGCGCCGGCCCGGGCCCCCGGTCCCGCCCCCTCCCTCCCTCCCCCGCCTCCCCCCGGCCGCGCCCCCCCGCCCCGCCCCCCCATGGACATGTTGGACCCGGGTCTGGACCCCGCTGCCTCGGCCACCGCCGCCGCCGCCGCCAGGTAAGCGCGCCGGCCGGCCGCCCGGGCCTCGGCCTGTAGGCCGGGCCGCCATGATCGCGGCGGCGCGGCCCGTCCAAAATGGAGGCCGGCGCGGGCGCGGCGGCGGGCGAGGGCGGCGGGCGGGCCGGGGCGGCGGCGAGGCGGGCGGGCGCGGACCCGCCCGCGGAGCCCGCGGCGCGCTCCGGCCGGGCGGGGGCTGCGCGCGGGCGTGCGGGCGTGCGTGCGGGCGGCCCTGACCCCTGTGCGCCCCGCGCCCCGCAGCCACGACAAGGGACCCGAGGCCGAGGAGGGCGTGGAGCTGCAGGAAGGTGAGCGCCCGCGGGCCCCGGCGCGGCCGCCCGGGGAGGGGCTGGGGCGCGGGCGGGCGGCCGGGCGGTGACCGAGCCCTGCCGGCCGCAGGCGGGGACGGCGCTGGCGCGGAGGAGCAGACGGCCGTGGCCATCACCAGCGTCCAGCAGGCGGCGTTCGGCGACCACAACATCCAGTACCAGTTCCGCACAGAGACGAATGGAGGACAGGTGAGCCGCGGCGGGGCGCGGGGCGCGGGCGCGGGGCGCGGGAGGCTGGGACCCGGCCCCAGCGCCGGCCTCGCCGCTCTGCCGCCCCCTGCAGGTGACATACCGCGTAGTCCAGGTGACTGACGGTCAGCTGGACGGCCAGGGCGACACGGCTGGCGCCGTCAGCGTCGTGTCTACCGCTGCCTTCGCGGGGGGGCAGCAGGCTGTGACCCAGGTGGGTGTGGACGGGGCGGCCCAGCGCCCGGGCCCCGCCGCTGCCTCTGTACCCCCAGGTCCCGCAGCGCCCTTCCCGCTGGTAGGTGCCCAGCAACCCCCGGGGGGTGGAGAGGGGACACTGGCTCTGCTCCCGGGGAGCCCCGGGGGGTAGGGCAGGTGGCGCGCACGTGCTGCCTGCCGGCTGCGGGTGTCAGGTCCCGGCCATGCGCAGTGAGACCTCGGGCAGAGAGCTGTTAGGGTGTCTCATCTTTCTTCACGTAGAGTGGGGATGATCTGTCTAAGAGGAAAGTTTCTTAGAGTTAAAAATGGATTGTCCGGGCAAGCGGTGGCTGAGCATCTGCGAAGTTCCAGGGCCACCCGAGACACGGGACAGAGTGGCACACGCAGAAGGGTCCCACTCCTCTGTTTATTGCAGAGGACGTAGTGAACGTCCAACACAGTCACGAGGACGTGGGAGTGGGGAACAGAGGTGGCTCAGGGTGGCCTCCGTGTCCCCTTGCTCCCCAGGCTGTAATCCAAAACCCCTTCAGCAATGGCGGCAGCCCGGCGGCCGAGGCTGTCAGCGGGGAGGCGCGGTTCGCCTATTTCCCGGCGTCCAGCGTGGGCGATACCACCGCCGTGTCCGTGCAGACCACCGACCAGAGCCTGCAGGCTGGAGGTGAGTGGAGGGAGAGGCCAGGTTGGAGGACAGCGGGGGCGACAGGCCTAGCAGGGAGAGAAGCCCCCCAGCCGGTTCCAAGTCTGCCCCTGTCATGGCACTAACCCCACTCTCCCCGCAGGCCAGTTCTATGTCATGATGACACCCCAGGATGTGCTTCAGACAGGAACACAGAGGACAATTGCACCCCGGACACACCCCTACTCCCCGTACGTGCAGGAGGCCTGGTCCCACGAGCCACTGGGAGGGCCTGGCGTTGGGGCCGGAGGAAGGGAGGGTTTCTGGAGTAGGAGCTGGGCAGCTCAGCACACGGCAGGCACAGGGTGTATTTTTTGGCCTGTTTCTGCTTCTCTAGTGCAAGTAAAGAAAGTGCCATTTCCTCTTTCCACGCGTAGATTTATCTTGCAAAGGTAATTCTCAACTCTAACTGCTTGACGAATGCTTGGACCAATAGGCCCGAGATAATAACATGTGCCCATTTTTTCCCCCTCTTCCAGAAAAATCGATGGAACCAGAACTCCCCGAGATGAGAGAAGAAGAGCTCAACACAACGAAGGTAAGGACAAGGTGGGGGCTCCTGGGCCACCTGGCTTCATAGGCTCAGCCTGTCGTGGTGTTTGGGGTCACAGATAGAGAGGCAGCTCTGTCCCGTCACGGGGCACACTGCGCATGTTTGAGAGGTGTCTGTCGCGTGCTGGGGAGGTAGGAACTGCGCGGGGAAGGGAGAGGGCACAGCGTCAGAACAGACAGGGAGCTTGAGCTGGAATTGGCCGTGTGTTTTGACGTACTTGGCTGGTGATTTCTAATCAATGACCAACGTCTAAAATGGTGGACTGTACCTTCCCGAGTGCACTGCCTGCCTCGTTGAAAAACTGGGTTGATCTGGCTCGCCTGGGCCGATCTTCCCATGCGGTGCTGTTGCGTTCACGTCCCTCGCTCCCAGGCCTGCCTGGCCTCCAGAAATAGCTCCGGTCTGCCGGGGAGCACATCTGAAGAGGAAACTGCAAGAAGCTGTGCCTCTGGCTGGCTGAGCCAGAGCATCCTGCCTGCTCAGAACTCTCACCTAAGGTCAATTTCGGCCTTCAGGGCTGCCCCCTGGACCCCTCGCTCCAGCTGCAGCCACTGCAGTGGGCATAGTGGCATGCAGGTGCCAGGGGAGCATTTGCACCCAAATAACCGTCATTCGCCAAATGTTTACCGACGGCGGGTTCCAGGCTGGGCAGCACGGGCCCCGTGCCAGGTCTGGAGCCGGCTGGGCGTGCCAGGGAGGCTCCGCGGAGGGAGGGCCTGCATCGGGCTGCATGCTCGCGGGGGACGAGGGGAGGCTTCCTGGGGAAAGCGTGCTTTGGGAGCTTCTGTGGGGGGCAAGGCAGGGTGGGTCAGGTCGCTTCAGGGGGTGCAGGTTTGGTTGTGGCAGAGGCTGCATGTGGGGTGCAGCTGGGAGGGGCTAGGCAGGCCTTGGACGTCAGAGTGAGGCGCTGAGTTCTGAAGGTGTTTGTCAGGGAGGGCCGCGGGGTCACTGGTCTATGCAGTCGTGTTCTAAGCAGCTCCCTGAGCTCAGCCATTCACTCGCTGTGCACCGCGCGTTCCCTGTTAGGCCCCCCAGACACAGCGGTACCGCGCAAGGGAACAAAGTGTCAGCTCGCCCCGAGTTCCCTCCGGTGGGAGCGACGGAAGTTACATGTGGCTACAATGTGACGTCCGGGAGCAGAATAAGTTACATGAAGGGAAAAGGAAGCTGGATGGGGCGGAGCGGAGGCAGCAGTGAGCCGCGAAGGCCTCTGGGAGAGGCAGCGTGGAGCGGACAGCTGGACGGGCCGCAGGAGACGGCCGGGCAGGAATCGGGGGTCCGGGGCAGGCAGGAGCGAGCACTGGGGCTGGAGCAGACGTGGGGTGACTGAGAGAGAGAACTCGGGAGGGAAAAGAGGAAGTTGGCGGGCGCGAGGGCGGGGGCGGCCAAGGCCCGGTTGCAGAGGGCTTGGAAGAGGCCCCGGTGTGGGCGTCCCTGGCCCCGTGGTTGTGTTCCGGTGCGATCTGCGTGCGGAGGGGGTTGCTGAGGGTGGTCGGAAACCGGAGGCTCAGAAAGGAGGTGCGAGGGGCCGGGCCGGGGTGGGGAGACTCCAGGGCTGAAGAGTCAGGGTTTCATGCTGAGCTCAGTTGCTGTGGAGGGAAGGGGTGAGTCTGAGCTTGGTTTTGGGGGTGTGTCGCGGGGCCCCCAGTGGGCAACCCCGGCGGTCCCGGCTGCACCGCTTACCTGCCATGCGGTGTCAGGCTGGTGGTTAATCTCTGCACCTGTCGCGCCCCTCGTAAAACCGCGTTGACACGACTGCCCCGGGGCTGCAGCGAGTTGCGATGTGAGGCTCCGGGCCGTGTGTGGTGCCACACGGTAAAATCTCGTGGTGCCACCTGGCCACCTTCCCGCCCTGCTCGCGCTCTCTGCCCCTCCCTAGATGAATCCACTTCCAGTCTTGAGTGAGTCTTTCTCACCCTGCGGAACGCAGCCTTCTTCGTGAGCTTGCCTTGCCCTCCAGCTGCATCCTCAGAGCACGTGACCCGCCATCTGCCCA